AGAGCGGGGGGCGGGCGGCCCCGGCCGTTTAAAGCGGCAGCGGCGCGGGGCGCTCCCCAGTGCCGGAGCCGGAGCGCGGCGGGCAGGGCAGGGCAGGGCGGGCGGCAGCGGCCGAACCCGCAGCCCTCCCCCGGCCATCCCGTCCCGGCCGGCCCGGCCCCCGGGGAGCGCGGGGCAGCGCCCGGGGGCGGCGGCGGCATCACCACCATGGGCCGGCCGGGCAGGGTGCTGCGGCTGCTGGCGCTGCTGGAGCTGCCCTGCTGCCTGCTGGAGCTGCTGCTCGGCGAGGCGGCCCGCGGGCAGGAGATGTACGCGCCCCACTCCATCCGCCTGGAGGGGGACATCACCCTGGGCGGCCTCTTCCCCGTGCACGCCAAGGGTCCCCCGGGCTCCCCCTGCGGGGACATCAAGAAGGAGAACGGCATCCACAGGCTGGAGGCGATGCTCTACGCCCTGGACCAGATCAACAGCGACCCGGACCTGCTGCCCAACGTCACGCTGGGCGCCCGCATCCTGGACACCTGCTCCCGGGACACCTACGCGCTGGAGCAGTCCCTCACCTTCGTCCAGGCGCTCATCCAGAAGGACACCTCCGACGTGAGGTGCACCAACGGCGAGCCGCCCGTCTTCGTCAAGCCGGAGAAAGTAGTTGGAGTGATCGGGGCATCGGGAAGTTCCGTGTCCATTATGGTGGCCAACATCCTCCGGCTGTTCCAGGTAGGGCCGTGCCGCGGGGCTCCGCCGCTCCCGGCTCCCCTTGTGCCTCTCCAGGTGCTCCATCCGCCTCCCTCCGGAGCAGCTGCTTCCCCTCCCCGCCGCCCTCTCCCTTCTCCACGGTGCGTGGCGCTTTCTGGATTTATCGCCCCATTTGCACGAAGCAATGATGCCTGAGGGAGAGGAGAAAAAAAAAAAAAAAAAAAAAAAAAAAGGAAGAGCAGAGGCGCTGGCTGCGCTGGGTTTGCGTTAGAGAGAGCCGTGGCTCGGCGGGGATGGATGCGGGCGCACGGCATCCCGGCGGGGCACGGCCGGCACCGCTCCGCGCACGGAATGCCGGCGGTGCGGGCACGGCTGGCGGGGCCGCGGCCCGGGGGTCGCGGGGGGGTCGGGACAGGGCCGGGAGAGGGTCAGGAGGGGCTTTCTCCGGCTGAGCCGGGGCTGTGCGGGGCAGCCCCAGCACCCAGCGCTGCCCGGCTCGGGTCCCGGCTCCCTCCCCGGCCGGAGCGGGGGCAGCGGGGGCGGCTCAGCCCGGGAGTGCCGCCCCAGGCTCGGCGGCTCCGGGAGGAGCGAGGGATGAGCGGAGCCGGCGGATTAGAGCCGTGTGTGTGTGTGAGTGTGTGTGTGTGTGAGCGTGTGCGGGGGAGATGCGCTGCAGCGCTGCCCGTTCTCCCCCTCCTCGCCTCTCCCCCGTTCGCGCTGCGATCGCGCCCGTCTCGCCCCCGGCGCCGCGCCTCGGTGGGTGTCGGGCCACGGAGACTTGTCACCCCCTCATGCTCCTGCCCCAGGGCCGTGCGAGGCCGTCTGTCCGCCTCTGGCCAGGGCTGGATCCCCCGGGATGAGGGGGTGTCCCCCCGGGGGTTGGGATGACCCCCGGGATGAGGGGGTATCCCCCGGGCCTGGGGTGTCCCCCGGGGGCCGGGATGTCCCCCCGGAGCTGGGGTGTCCCCCCGAGGTGCCGCTGCAGCCGCCGGGCTCCGCAGCGAGCGCCGGGTGCTCCTCGGCAGCGATCGCGGGTGCGGTGACAGTGACAGAAGCGCCACCAGATGCATCGTGAGCAGCGGAGTTCTTCGCTCCCTGTCCTACGCCTTCGCATGCGGAAGGTGGTGGAGGGATTTTTTTTTTTTTATTTTTGTGCAGCGGGCGGAGAGATCCCCCGCTTTTCCCAGCTGGAAACTTGGAAGCTCTCACGGCAAATCCTTGCTCGGTGCTGTCGCAGCCGCCGAGCCTCCCCATTGCCATCTGCCCGCCGGTGCCACCTCCGGCCGAGGCCAGCGGGGCGATGCTGGCCCGCGCCGTGCCCGGCCGGGCAGTGCCCTGCCCATTCCCTGGCACGCCAGCGAGCCGCTTCTTTGCCGTGCTCGCTTCTCCTCCCGGCCGACTGAAGCGCACGGCTGCCGGATCCAGCGCTGTGCCCACTCTCCCCCTCTGTGCCCTCCCGTGCCCGGGCTGCGGACCCGGCCCTCCCGTTCTCCCGAGCCCCGCAGCCGCAGAGCCGTGCTCGAGTTGTGCCCGAGTTCGGGCTCGGCAGCTGCCAGCAGCCAGGAGGGTGGAGGGGGCAGCTCTTCCACTCCAGTTCCCATCCCGCAGCCAGTCCGGGGCAGTCCCCGCCGAGATCCAGTTCAGAAGGGAAACTGAGGCACCAGGAGCCTTTAGGGTAATGCCACAATACCTGCAAAGCCTCTGGTGATGCATTATGTGGTGGAGTTTGCAGAAAATAAGATATTTGGATAGTTTCTCCATGTAGAGATATTTATATAAACAAAATACTTTAATGTATTGTGACTAAGCATCTGTTCAAAGTTGCAATTTAAGCAAATCATCCAGAAAGCAGGAACTGGCCCTTACTGAGGGATTTTACTGAATATCTATTTTACAGCTTGGATGAGCCACCTTGAAGCAGATCTTTCATGCTGTAAAACTGTTCCCTGTTGTCCTCTCCTTCTTCAAAACACAATTTAGAACATGCTCAGCCAAAGAGAAATAGAAAATAACTATTTTAGGAGGAGAAGTGGACCTGTTCAACAGCTAAGTGTCATTGTGTGTGGGTGGATGAGAAGCTCTAAGTTAGTGGAAAGAAGAAAACCAAGTACCAATCACAAAAAATCTTGTTAACCTCAGAACTCTCTGAAATTCCTGAGTGTGGCAGCCAGCTTCTTTCTCAGGGGTCACTGTGGGTTTTGCTGCCTGGGGCAGTGGGTGAGGGGTGGGTGGATGGCTCTTGAACGCTTACCTGCATGCCCAAACTGCCTTTTCCCCCACATCTGGTAGGTAAAAGCTCTGTGGAGGCCCCTGCAAAGAAATCTTAATGGAGTTTCTGCTTCTCTGACAATATCTTGGAAGAGAAGTATTTCTGCTGTGCCTTAACGCAGGGAGCAAATGGGTGTAAATCTCTATATATAGATATACATAACCCATCCAGAGCACAGCAGGGCTTCCTCAGGCAGCTCCTGGCGCTTCAGGCGCTTCCTCCCCAGGAGGGGCCGGCTCCATGCAGGCTGTTCATCTTCCTCTCTGCATGGGAGGCTGTGTTATCTGTGCCTGCACTGCATCCCCGCGCAGCGCAGGGGCTGGGGGCATCCTCAGCTGCAGCCAACAGGTGCAGCAGCAGGGAGAGCAGTGCCGGGCTCCTCGGGCTGCACTTCATCCCTGCAATTGCTGCTGCAAGCTTTGTGGGAGCTTTCCTGGGGTGAAAAATGATGGGGAGAGCTCCATGACTCTTGGGGGTTTGCTGTGTGAGCAGAGTCCCTCCCCTGCCTCTGTTCCCCTCCCCTCACTCATCCCTGAGCTGCTCCTTGGATAAAAGAGCCTGGGAACAGCTGGGGTGGGAGGGTTCCTCCAGGAGCCTGGGGCAGGCACAGAGTCCTGTGGAGCCCGGGGCAGCTGTAACCCTGCCTCTCCCTTTGTCCAGCTGAAGGCTTGGTGCTGATGGAGCCAGGCTGAGACCTGGGGCTGCTCACCGCTCCTGGCTCCCACAGGCTGCGAGGGTGGGCACAGGAATTGCCAGTGGGGCAGGATGCCTCATCAGGCCCCTCCAGGAGCACTGCAGAACGAGCTGAGGAGGCCTGGAAGGGCCCTGTGAGGCAAGCTCAGGGTCTGAGGGAGGGGAGGCTGCACCCCTGGGTTCAGTCTGCCCCTGCCAAGGGCTCGGTGGGACCTGCTGGAGGTCCTTGGGTTAAAATGATCGCCAGCAGAGGCTGGGCAGAGCAGGGCAGAGCCCACCCTGAGCACGGTGTCTGAGTGCAGGGGAGCTCCCCCAGCTTGGCCATGGCTTCCCCAGGAAGGGCTTGAGGCAGGAGGTGCCTCGGGCAGCGTTCTTTCTTTTCCATCTGTGTTCTTTACCTTCACCCATCCATCAGGAGTGCCCTGGCAGGCGTGGCAGTGCCCCAGTCCTCTGTGAGAGCATCCCTGGGGCTGTGTCTCACCCCAGGGCTGCCCAGGCAGGGGTTGGGCAGCAGGGCAGCTGTGCCCAGCCCAGGTGTGCTCCAGAGGGACCAGCCTGGGCTGCTGGAGCGTGCAGGTGGCCCTGCACCAACACCCAGGTGTGTCGAAGGCAGGGACTCCTTTCCAACACAGTTCTAGCAGTGCACGCCAGTAAACAGCAGCCCGGTCATAAATTAAATATCTCTCCTAAAAATAACACCCAAATAATTTGGAAAGCTGCTTCCAAATGCACAGGGGAGTTCAGGCAAGATGATTTTAGGCTGCTGGTTTTGCTTTGGAGAAAATGCTGTTCCTTTGCAGGGTTGTACCTTTCCTTACAAATGGAGCTCCATGATAAAACCATGGCTTCATATTTTCTGGGAGTAGAACCATGCAACATGGGGAATATCAGCACCCTGATTTCTCTATTAATGCTGGAAAGCTTATTTTTGTGCTCCCTGCAGACTTCTCATGACAGGCTTTAATAATGAACAAATTACTGTTCAGGTTTGTGTCCTCGGATGCAATTTGAAAGAGTCAATCACGAATAATTTCGTTCTTGTCTAAATCCCTGGGGGATGTGATCAGGGGTGGCTCTGGTGGCCCAGAGGGGGCTGTGCCTCAGCCCCTCCAGGGAACTTTGCAGCAAAGGGGGCTCAGGCAGTGCAGGGAGATTGGGAGTGCAAATTGGAACATCCCTGATCTCCCTGGGGGTGTTGGCTGCCTTTCCTTCCTGCCGAAGGAGGAAGATGACAGTTGCAGTCCTGCCTTCTGCTCCAGACACAGTAATCACAAAAATGAGATTATTTGGAAAGGAAGGGAGCTTAAAAGTGCAGCTCTGAGTTGGATGCTGCTCTTTTCTTGCAAAATGCACACGCTTTTGCCAGGCTCTCTGGGGGAGGCTGTCGGGCTGGGATTGCTGGGGATGGGGATGGGATGGGATTGGGATTGGGATTGGGATTGGGATGGGATGGGCTGGGGTTGGGGGGCTCCCAGGAGTGAGGGGAGCTCTGGAGCCTGCTCCTGCTGGGAGTGCTCCTCGGGCACAGGGAGGAAGGGCAGGGCAGTGTGAGAATGTACAGAGCCATGGTTCCATCAGATCCCTTGGAAGTGTCTGCTTTCTGATGGGTTCCACACTGCTCATCTGATCAGTTTCTAGGAACTCCTTGTATTCCCAGGAAAATGTCTGCAGACTGGTTGTTCCTCCCTCACTCAGTTCAAGTTTCTTGCAGGAATGTGGGGTTTGGGCCCATTCCGTGGGATGTAATTTCCATTCCCAATCCATTTTTGAGCCCCTCCTGCTGACCTTGAGATGCTGGGGAGGTTTAATTGCTGGGATGTACCTGGGCTCTCACTGGGGCTTGGGAAGAAAACTCCCACATTTCAGCAGTGTTCTTCTCTGGATGCTCATTTATTGTGAATTCCTGCCCTGATTGTTGCGTTTTCCTCTCCTCACTTCCAACAGGACAATACTTTTTAGGCAATGGAGTAATGATTCATTTTAGAGAAGATATTTCAGGAAACTCCACATTTTTCAGTTTCTCACATAGAGAATGCAACAAAAAGCTGAAAATAGGAAA